AGTAGGTTCTGTGTATGTCGTCGACTTTACCTTGTTCAAATTTGTTCCAAAAACGGTGCTTCAAATATCGATTTATCCGATAATGAGTGGATTCTTACTTGAAGGCTAGCCTGATGTGGTCTAGAAGGCAGCGTTAAGTAAAGTTTATTTTTTATTAGCCCCGGAAACTGATGTACTTAGTACTTTCAGTTAAAAATCTATTTGAAACGTTCATAAAAGGCCTCATTGGACCACGGAACAGAAAGTAACCTTTTGCCAACAAAGTTATTACTACGTCCTCTGGTCATGCTTTCTGCTTCCACTTGCATGCACAGTCACTCGATGCAACGAAACTGAAATGCTCGAAATGGTGCCGCGATTCGCCAAACTGAACGGGGCACGTAGCAAGCTGACGGAGGAGCAGTATGGCATGCTGCAGGTGAGTCAATTTAACCGATTCGGCAACGTGGTCGCCTTCAAATGCGACGATGGCTACTTTTTCCAGGATCGCACCTTCCAGAAGTTCATCGAGTGCGCTCTGGCCGAGGGCGATACCAATCAGAGTGTATGGACAGGCTACAGTGGTACTCTGCTGCCCCTCCCTACGACCTGTACACGTGAGTTTCTCTAACGACAAAACATTTCATGTGGCAGTGTTGATAGTGGTAGTAACAGTGATATAAGCTGTAGTGGTGTATCAGCATCAACGTATTGAGAGAAACATGGGCTAGCGCCTTTGAGCTACCTCTTGATAACAAGAAGGCTAGGAAGTGTTTAGATAAGAAGGAAAAACTGTTTGGATGGTTAGGCAGATTTTTTTAATTTGATTGACCCAATTGTAACAAATTCGCGGCCTTCGCAAATTTTCACGATTAGGTCAACTGAATTAAGCAAATTTGCCAAACCCCCTAACAGTTTTTCTTTTTCATCCCAAAAGCGAAAGTTTCCGTCCATAGCCTCCACCCCAACATGATCGTTTGCAGACATTCTTCGTCTTTGATTAGTGCTTCGGCGATTAAATCTTGCTTTTACTTAAGGCAACTGACATGGCCAGTTTTGAGTTAATTGAAGTCATATGCTCCCATGCTTAATTACGCAGTAGTTATATCGAGTTGCCACCGGCGTATACTGTCACGCGTAGCCTCATAAACCCATAAAGTGCGCACTATTTTATTCCACGCTTTTTCTCTAGCGGTGAAAACAGAAAGTCCTGGTCACTCATTAACGCCCTCTCTCTGTAAACGATAGGACATCTGTGGCTGCAGAATTTGCCTCAGTCCATAAGAACCAAATCTATCAGCAATGTGTAAAGAACCCTCTTTTTTCATTCGCCTTTCCAG